GTGGGTCATGAGAAAAACAAGCAGTAAAGGCATAGCACATCATAGTGTTCATGTAACATTAATGAGACTACCTGAACCCTCTAAGGTCTTAGAAATCCCTGTTGACAAATGGGTCACACTGTCAGAGCTACCAATAGTGGACAGTTGCTCAGAAATAGGATTATTACATAAACCAATACTTGGTGCATTTAACTAAATGCTTAGGAAGAGTATGTGGATGAAATGATAAAATTTGATAAAAGTATAACAAAGGTTGTAGCTCAGTGGAGGAGCACATGTTTTGCATGTGAGGCACTGGGTTCGATTCTCAGCACCAGGTAAAAATAAACAACAAAAAAACTGAAGGTATTATGTACATCTAAAACTAAAAAAAAAAAAAAATTAAAAAGTATCACAGTAAAAATAATCATGCTACAGAATAATATCAAAAGAGTACATCATAGGAATTGTAGAATAATATTAAGTAGATATGTATATTTTATAGATTTATAAGTGCTATAGAACATGTCATGTATTTATATAAATGTTTTAAGTAATATCATTTATATAATATAAATGCTATTTAGCATAACATGTATTGCTATTATAGTAATAACTATGCATTAGTATATTATAACTTGTAATCATTGTTTATACTCTATTTTAGTATTATATATTACTAAGAATAGATAATACAGAGAATAACAATGTGAACCTTTTACTTTAACTGGGAGGATTATAAGATTAATATTTTCTGAATCTCTGGCTGTGGCAGTTTGAAGCAGACTAACAGTGCATTCCAGCAAAAACCACTCAATTTTAGCTAGTGTTCCTTACCAGTGTCCTTGGGCACAAAACCACATACAGAGCTGCAAAACTTTTCTTGTTTATGTTGGGACAAATAGAAATTTAGAGAGCAAAGCAAACAAATAAGCAGTCTAATTGCAAGCCTAATAGTCTAGGGCGCATCACTGAGAAATGTTATTTTTTTATTTTTAAATTTTTTTTTCAATTGTAGACTGAGCAAACAGGCAAAGTTGCTTCAATGTCTTTACCTAGAAATTTAGATTATGTATCTACAGATTTTAGTAATACTGAGCAGATCTGCCAGTGTTTATAAATCATGATTCATTTATTTGTTTATACTGTCAGTCAAAGCAAGCTCAAAACTGTTTCCCAAACATGGAGAACCTCATTCAGCTTCTCCAAGCACCATTTTTTGGGGGGTGGTGGTGGTGGTGGTGGCTGATGTGGTAAGCTTTATCCATGGTTTGGGTCAGGTAGATAAAAGGTCCACAGTTCAGTGTCTTCTCTGCAGCATTTTCTTTGTGGTGATTATTCAGGTACACAATAAAATTCAGTTCACAATCATGTTTATTTTACATCATTTATTCTTTTATTTGTCTTGTAAATATTCTATTCCCAGGTGATAAAAATTTGAATGTCCTACCAACCCATGGTGATTATTCAGGTACCGATAAAATTCAGTTCACAATTATGTTTATTTTACATCATTTATTCGTTTATTTGTCTTATAAACATCCTATTCCCAGGTGATAGAAATTTGAACATCCCACCAACCCAAATCTCTCTTGCTAACCAGATCCCTTTGTTTTAAGTTAATAGAATCCATTTTTTAAAAATAATTCAAAGTATGGGGCATTCTTCTAAACTTTACCAACTCATAATACTCCCACTTTCTGAGGGAAATGGTTAAAATATTAGAGATTAACCAGTAACACCCCTTTGTTTTTTTCTCAAAGAGCATAGTTACCACTAAAATATATTTTTTAAAAAAGTTGTATAAAAATGCTTTCTGATGGGTTTCTCCAGATTTATTTAATTTTACAAATAAAAAATGACACTGAATTTCTTTTTAAATGCTGGAGATAGTATTTTAGAGCATTTGAGTAGGTTACTAAATTATATTAAAAGTTTAAACCTTATCAGACCTGGTGAAACACACCTGTAATCCCAGCAGCTTGGGAGGCTGAGGCAGGAGAACTGTGAGTTCAAAATCAGCCTCAGCTAATTATTGAGGCCCTAAGTAACTCAGCAAGACCCTGTCTCTAAATGAAATACAAAAAAGGGCTGGGATGTTGTTCAGTGGTTAAGTGCCACTGGGTTTAATCCCGGTACCAAAAAAAAAAAAAAAAAGTTTAAACCTTAAAAGTAAGATTTTTATGTTCTTTACATATCAGTATTTATTGAAATTGAATCTACTTTCAACAGAAGAAACATTGTCAAGGTGAGGAAATAACACTTTTTCTTCTTTTGTTCTCTTCCTTTTTCTTTTTTCTTTTTAGTTCTCTTTTCCGTATTTCATTTTAGAAAACATTTTTAGGCAAGTGTAATCTGTCCAGAATCAAATGTGACTTTAGTGAACTTGAAAAGGGGCTTTTCTTTTCCCTCCTCTATTGAGATGGTAACATTTGGACTTAGGAAATAGTCTTTTTAAAATCCAGAAGGCCAAGTATAGCCTTTCTGGGCTATAAATGTCAAATGTATAAAAAAAAAAATTAAAATTAAAAAAAAAGAGTTTATGCTTTCATGTGCCTCCTTTCCCTTTGTGAACTAAACTTAACTCCTAGAAGAGTTGTGCCAGACAGGAGAGGCCTGGTTGGCTTTTGTTTGCTTGCTCGGTTCTCTTCACACTCCTGCAACAAGTAGAAAATGGTTTATTAAAACCTGCTACATGCACACTTTAATCTCTGGCAGAATTCTCTTTTTTCCTGGGGTTTTGTCTTCATCCTCATTTTTATCTTTATGTGTACCTGGCTAGTCTTGGCACCTGGCCCTGTGGCCAGGCTGATGCCTGAGCAGTTTAGAGTTTGCACTTCTCAAAGTGCTGGTGCATAGGGGCTCTGAGAGATTCAGAAAAAAGCCAAGAACCTGGCCATATCTCTTTGTTCCCTTGAGCTCTCAAATAGGACCAAAATACCTCTAAAATTCACCCCAACTCTCTTATTATCATAATGCTAATAAATAATCCCTGATTTTGGACAGCTTGAAACAGACCAGGAATCTGTGTGATTTTATGTAATCTTTAGAAACCCAGCAAGTAGTTACTATTATTTTCTTCATTTTACATGTAAACCTTTGAGAAATTGGACATTCGCACAAAGATCACAAATCTAATGAATGATAGAGTGGAGTTTCATTCCCTAACTATCTCTTATCAGTGTTTTTCTCCCTATGCCTGCTGCTTCCAAAGAAAAGAAAAAGGAAAAGTTAAATGACTGCTGTTTTTATTGAGGGCTTGCTGTGTGCCAGGTGATGGACTAGGCACTTAATATACAAAGTCCTGTGATGAAATATTACTCTTTCAGTTTCACAGATAAGGAAATTGAGGCTTACAGGTTATAAACTTGTGCAAGAGCCAATCACTGGTAAATGGTAGGGAATGGTTTGAATCAAAATCTGCCTCTTAAAAAGCTTTCACTCTATTATGCTCCTGAGGGATCCCAGCTTTTGAAAGCCTGGTTGGGGAAAAAGAAGAAGAAATGGGAGAGATATAATTTTCCTAATAGTTTTTGTGATTTTGATTGCAGCTGCCTCCAAAACATCTGTGCTTCTGGATTAGAGGTTTCATGCAAGAAGACAGGAGTAGACAATAATGAAGTTTTGCCCTGATGTTAGGGACTGGAATTTATTCACTGGCTACATTTTGAAGCAGATAAGAAAGAGGTCCTTTGAGTTGCTTCTTGTCAGGATCACTTTGATGGCATATGGGTAAATTAGATGGACCCAGAGTTTTTAAACGGCACTGGAGTAGTGGTTCTCAAGTTATGGTCCTAGGACCAAGCAATGTTAAGCTCAGGAACTAGTAGAAAAGCAGTTCTCTGGGCACCCACCCAGACTCATGTACTAGAACACTGGGGAGTGTGGCTCAGGAGTCAGGCCCTTCAGCTCATGTTAATGCAGGCTCCAATTTAAGAGCCACTGCACTAAGCAGCTCCTCCTAGCAGTGCAGCTAGCTTCAAAAGGCAAAACTACAGGCAATTAAAGGGCCAAATCTTAGAAATTGGAGTTTTTAAAATGTTGCTTTTGTCTTTCATTGTTGGACACAGCCTATCATTTTTGTAAATGAATGCCCTGATTGTAAAACACTGTCACTCCCCAAAGAAAGGCTTTGCCTTAGTGTGATCCTCCAGAGGGGTGACAAGTATAAGAAATCTTATCAGAAGGGTTTATTGAATTCCTCCCTTTAAAAAAACTTTCTCTTTTTCCTGGAAGCAACTGATGTGATTTTTCCTCTCTGAACAGTATAGAGAACAGAAATGAAATGCAAACTTTTGGCCTTAAGGAAAACAGAACCAAAGATAGAGCACAAACTGTAGTCAGTGTTATAAGGCAGTGAACATTTTTGACTTTCATTTTGAGGAATCTTCATAGTCATCATTCATTTAAGAACTAAACTGTGATACCAAGCCCTAAACAACAGAATAGCATGCCCTCCTCAAAATGTCCCTCTTGGAACCAGGATCTCTGGTAGAGATTACTGATTTTGGACCCCTTTCTTAACTAACAGTGTCCTCAATGACAGAAGCCCTTCATAGTAAAACACATTTACAGTTCAGGGGATGCTGACAGAAATTAAGAATGAACTGGGATTGAAATGTTCATATCTTAAGTCATCAGCTGTAGCCTATCCTCCTTAAGAAAGGATGTGCTTCCTTTTTTTTTTTTTTTTTTTTTAAATTTTTGGCTCTGAGGATAGAACTCAGGGTCTTGCTTCTGCCAGGTAAGCACTCTGCACTGGAGTTACATCCTCAAAGTACGAACTTCCTTAAGACACCCTCCAGTTGATGGCTGGAGCTTTTAGCCTTGGTTAGGGTGGGTGGAGTGGAGAACCTGTTTTGCAGACCTCTCTGATCTTTGGGGCCAGGAAGAACTCAAGTTCCTAACTCCTTTCAGATTATAATGGAAAGTTTTGCTTTTGTGGCAGTTTGCATCATTTATTGTATTATTTCATGCTGTAAAGTGTTTTTCCCCTTGAAATAAACCCACTTTTGGTTTCCTAATCATTTGCCTTTTCTCTTCCTCTGAAATGCAGCAGAATAGATATGTTGGACAAAATGGCCAGCAGACTGATGAGAGGCAGCTGGTACAGAGCAGTCCCAGAGGCAGCTGGCTTGAAGGCAGATTGGATGAGATAAGGCTTCACACCCCCATGGGAACTTGCCAGAAGCAAGTGTTAGAGGAGTTATCTACACAACTTAACAGAGGGATTTTTTTTCTTCCTTTTTTCCCCCTCCTAGTTCCAACCCTGAGGGTGTTTCCGAAGCTACAGAAATACAGAAATGCTGTAGCTCTGAGAATATTCTTGGACCTGGTTCCCATTGGCAGTTGCTGCATGGTTTACTTCTCACCCAGAGCAACCATTCATTCAGAGGTTTTTATCTGTAGAATGGAGTCCACATCTGCTTTGAAAGTGTATTGTTAGATCAAAGACTTCTTCTCTTCAGTTAAACCAATTTTCCTGAAATACCATAATTTGAGAAGAATTTGAGAACCTATGGCAGTGTTCAACAAGTTTGGTAGTTTCTGCATTGCAAATTATCAAGAACTCAAATCCTACTCTGACTATAACATCTTGATTTATTACTTTGAATAACAACACCTTGAAAATATCTTAATAATTTATTTTACTGTTAACTTCTGTAAATATGTTGATGTAACTGCTTCTGAGGGGGATGTGCAGAGAACAGGAACTAGACAGTTTGTGGTTGATTAGGGGAGGAAGCAGAGACAAAAGACTGTTTCTTCCTTGGTCCCCAAGTGGTTCAGAGACTCACTGCAGAAGCAGGGATATTAACACCCAAGTTGTGAGCAGAATTAGCCAGCCT